AGCCCACTGCATGGGAGAACATATTTCCTAATGCTATCTCCAATAAGGCTTTAATCTTCAATATTTACAGGGAACTCATACGCTTAACAAAAAAAAGATAAACCTAAATAGACACTTTTCTAAAGAGGACATTCAGAAGGCCAAGAGACATTTGAAAACATGCTCAAAGTCACTAACCATCAAAGAGATGCAAATCAAAACAACAATGAGGTACCATCTCACACCTGTCAGAATGGCTATCATCAACAAATCAACAAACGACAAGTGCTGGTGAGGATGCAGAGAAAAAGGAACCCTCGTGCACTGCTGGTGGGAATGCAGACTGGTGCAGCCACTGTGGAAGACAACATGGAGTTTCCTCAAAAAACTAAAAATGGAACTGCCATTTGACCCAGTGACCCCACTCTTAGGAATATATCCCAAGAAATTAGAAACACCAATCAGAAAGGAGATACGCCCCCCTATGTTCATAGCAGCACATAGCTAAGATTTGGAAACAGTCTAAATGTCCATCAGCAGATGAATGGATTAGAAAACTGTGGTACATCTGCATGATGGAATACTATGCTGCTGTAAAAAAGAAGGAACTTTTATCATTTGCAAAAGCATGCATGGAACTGGAGAGCATTATGCTAAATGAAATAAGCCAGTTGGAGAAAGATAAATATCACATGATCTCACTCATATATGGGATACAATGATCAACATGAACTTTAACAAAAATAGATCCAGAGACAAAGAAACACTGAACAGACCTTCCAACCTCATAGAGAAGGCAGGAAGGGGGGTAAGAGAAGAGCCAAAGGACTTGTATGCATGCATATAAGTCTAACCAATGGACACAGACACTGGGGTGGTGGGGGCTTGTACTGGGAGGCGGGAGTGATGGGGAGGGTCAATTGGGGGGGGGAAAGGAGACATATGTAATACTTTAAACAATAAAAAAATAAAGAAAAGAAAAAAATGCAACACAATTTCTTAGAAATAAAATCAGTAATCTATCAAAAATCTGCTGGCTGGTGTGGCTCAGTGGTTGAGTGTTGACCTATGAACCAGGAGGTCATAGTTCAATTCTGGGTCAGGGCACATGCCTGGGTTGCAGGCTCAATTCCCAGTAGCCTCTAGTAATGTATATTTATAGTTTTTTTTGCTTGTCTTGTTTTATATCTTTAAGATCTGTATAGGAAATAACAGTATTTTTATCTAAATAAATGTACTGTCATGTTAGGTAATAATTTACTATTTTAATGCTCTCATTCTGTTTGATACACGTAATAAGAATAATATATTTTGGACCAATAGGTAGACAAACATTAGTGACATATTTCATATAAACGCACATACATATTTATTTTTTACACATATGTATGACATTGTATTTTGCTAAAGAGCAGCAACTAACATCCAGGCCATCCAGGAGCTGTCTAGTACAAAAATCTGGCTTTACAGCTAGAAATTGGTGTTGTGTTGAACCTTTCAACATACAATTGCATAGAAAATGAGATGGGACTGCTCTGCGATCCTGATGAATTATAACAAAAACAAGCTTACTCCATAATTATATTCAAATGCAGACAAAAACATGAACATTATCTATACCACAAACATGCCCCAATCATAGCTAGTATAAATCATTGCTGCCTCTTTAAAAATTTTGGCTTTCACCTCTGTCCAGTCTTGCATCATTCTAGATAAGATGTGTTATGAACCAAATCATATAATTCTTTTCACTTCCTGACAATATACTAGTACAACCTAGGCCAGTGATGGCGAACCTATGACACGCGTGTCAGAGGTGACACGCGAACTCATTTTTTTGGTTGATTTTTCTTTGTTAAATGGCATTTAAATATATAAAATAAATATCAAAAATACAAATCTTTGTTTTACTATGGTTGCAAATATCAAGAAATTTCTATTTGTGACACGGCACCAGAGTTAAGTTAGGGTTTTTCAAAATGCTGACATGCCGAGCTCAAAAGATTCGCCATCACTGACCTAGGCCAATGTCCCACTTTCTTAAACCTTACCCCAAATTACATGTCACACCTCAAACCTCAAAGTCCTTTCCAGCACCCTTTTACAAAGGTGCCCCATGGGATTTACATGGTGTGTGTTCTCCCTCTGGACAATCAATTATAAACCCAATTTGTTCAACTAAAGGTGTGTTCCTGCTGGTGTTTGTCTGGAGGTGATAGTGTGAGTGTACACATACTCAAATGCAAAAATTAGTTGTTTGTAGTAATTAAGAAAGAGCCGAAATTATATATATCAGAGTGTCTGAAAAAGAAACTGGAAAATTCATATTCTATATATGTAGACTACAATTAATACTTATTTAGGGAAAATAAAATAAATATATACATCAATGGAGCTTGTTCCTAGCCTAACAAAAGTGATTCTTTATTCCACTGCATAGACAAGCAGTTAATATTAATTTGTGATATATCAATATATCAGTATCACAAGAAATAACTCTGGAGTCTTACATTTTTGTATAGTTTAAACTAATACCAACTATTAACACAGTGAGTTTTTTTTAATATTACCAAGAGTATTCATTTGTCCTTTCTGTCACTGAAATATCAATCTAACTATTGCCAGTTATTTCAGAATTCTCCTTTAATGAATTAAACTGACAACTATGACTAATCTGGCTTTTATAACCCATTTCAGTCACCAAAAGTAAGATACATTTGTGAAAACTCTTACATGCTTCAGAGGATCCAGAATTCTCAATGGTAATCATAAGACAAAAGAGAGTATGTGAGTTATTTTGGAGGGCACCTTGAAATCATTTTCAATTGTCCCTGAAAAACAATCATCTAAGTATATTTATAGTCAACTAATCGGCTTCTGTGACAAGAAAAAACATATTTCAGTCGCAAATGGAGAGCATTATGCTAAGTGAAATAAACCAGTCAGAGAAAGATAAATACCTCATGATTTCACTCATTTGTGGAATATAGAGATCAACATAGACTGATGAACAGGGACAGATCCAATGACAGAGAAACAGTGATCAGACTATTAATCCCCAGAGGGAAAGTAGGGGAGGAAGGGGGCAAGGGGAAGAGATCAACCAAAGGACTTGTATGCATGCATATAAGCCAAACCAATGGGCATGGACACCAGGGGGATGAGAGCAGGAGTTGGGGCGGGGCAGGCTGGGGGTTTATTGGGGGGGATGAGGACACATTTGTAATACCTTAACTAATAAAGAATTTAAAAAAATAAATTAAATAAAAATAAATAAAAACCAAAAAAACACACACCTGGTTTTACATTCCTTAGAGAGAACTTGTGTATAACAAACAAGTCAAAGAATGAGTTACCCAATATACATTTGGTTATTAAACACTTGAATTATCAATAGCTACTCAGAATATCTACTTAGAGTTTCTTTAAACTTTTCATCTAAAAACGAACTAATATAATTTGATTTTAAAATGTGGACACTTTATATTGTAAAATGTAGCAATAATTTGACTAAAGTAATCCAAACTCATGAAAATTTCTAGGTTACACATTGGAAGTTAAAATGAATGGACCCGCCCTGACCAGTTTGGCTCAGTGGATAAAGTGTCAGCCTGAGGAGTGAAGGGTCCCAGGTTTGATTCTGGTCAAGGGCATGTACCTGGGTTGCAGGCACATCCCCAGTAGGAGGTGTGCAGGAGGCAGCTGATCGATGTTTCTCTCTCATCAATGTTTCTAAGTCACTATCCCTTTCCCTTCCTCTCTGTAAAAAATCAATAAAATATATTAAAAAAATAAAATAAAATAAAATCATTGGACCCACTAAAAAGTCATATTGTAGCACTCATTTAGCATGGATGGAATGATCTAAGACAAGGCTGAGATAGCAAAAACATGTTTTAAAGAAGTAAATGCATCTGTTACCTGTGCCACATCAGGTAATTGCATCTCCAAATTAAAAAGTATTTCTTTACTACTTGAAATATGTTGATTCTTTAAATACGTATTTAGTAATATGGTATAAATTTAAGTTATACAATATGTTTATTTGATACATTTTATATATTGTAACATGTTTGTCATTATAACATAGTAACATAGTTAGCACCTCTATCATGTCACATAATAATAATTTCTTTTGTGTGGTAAGAATAATTAAGTTCTAATCCAGCAGTTCCCAACCTTTTTTTTTGGCCATGCCCCGTCTAAGCATTTCTAAAATCCTGATGCCCCCCTATGACATAATTCTTATTATTCAAAAAGTGAACTCCTATTCACATGGAGGAAGCCTAAAATACCATTAACTTGGTCTAAACAAGCTTCTAAAGACCATGACATTCATGAAAGAGAAACATAAAAGAATGAAAGGACAGTTGAAGTACTGAGGAAGAAATTACTAAGAAATTGTTTTAAAAATAATAATAATATGAAGTGATATTAAAAAATAGCAAATAAAGTTTCAAAACATATAATACAGAATTGCGATGCATAAGTATGTCACAATATGTATTTATATATTGTACATGAGTCCCCTACAGCTATAAGAAATGCAAAAAAGTCACTATTAATAACCCGTTCTCAAATAACCCCCTTAAAAATCAAATGGCCCCCCTGTGGGGCATGTGCCCCACATTGGGAACCACAGATCTAATCTTTTAACAAGTTGGATGCTTGTAATATTTTTGTCAATAGTCACTACACTGTACACTAGAAAACCAGGGCTTATATATCTACTCTTTGCAAGTTCGTACCCTTATATACATCTTTCCTATGCCTCCAACCCTTCCTCTGGTAACCACCATTTTACTCTGTGTTTTAATGTGATTATTACTGTTTTAACTTGAAATTTGGTATACATAAATTTCAAATGAATGTGACACTATTTTTGTCAGTAAATGGTTCTTCATCTTGGAATAGTTATTTTAATTAAATGGTTGTAACATGGAAATAATGCTTGGATGCAACTCAAGGACATTGAGCACTCCAAGGAATTTCATGAAGAAAACTATAAATATATTACTCACCGATAGCTTTTGTTAAAGGTCAGTACAAGTGGACTTGCTCTCACAAGGATTCATTTTTCAGTCATTGGATTCTTGTTCATGAAAATTTCCTTCCCAACCTGATAGGCATACACACTGGTAGCTCTAAGGGAGTAATATAAAAATTATAAAACCTTTAGGTGTGTTTTAGTATAAAGCCTAAAATCCAGATATTACTCCTGGCTATTTTGATTTCTTAGACAATTTATACTTTTTAAAAGTTTTATAGAATGTCAATACGTATCTAAAGTTACATTTACCACAGTTTAAAAACTTTATAAACAGTATTCATTAGTATGTAGTAATTCAATAAATATTTGCAACATATCAATAAAGTCTATATAAGATATTAAACTATTTATGAATTATGCTCACAATGCAGAACTATTGATTTTGTTAAATGTCCTAATATAAAAATAGTGTATTAGTAATATGATGGTAGCAATTTAAACTAAGCTAAATACATAATTCAGCAAATAGTTCACAAGTTGAAAGAAATACAACTACCACAAATGAACTTTCTGTCAGCTTTGTGGCATTAGCTACAAATAATTAACCTAGGTAAATCAGTAATGTTGGTTGATTGAAATTATAAAACCTTTCATATTATTTTTCTATACTTTAGAAAAATAATATTCAAAATACTAAAAGTAAAATTTTGCTTTCCCAGGATTTAGAAAACAAACAAAAGAATCCAAAATTACTGTGGAGTAATAATTTATATATATTAAAATATTTTAAAATAATATTTTTTATTCTTTGAAAAAACAGCAAGATTTGGTCTCTTACATTTAAAGATTCTAGATTTAGTATTATAAAACTATTAAAATCAATGTTAGCCATATCTCGATCTTCACTGTTTAAATCAGTAGCCACTAGCCACATGTGGCTATAGGGTATTGATACGTGAATGGTTCCAACTGAGAAGTGCTGCAAGTATAAAATGCAGATTGGATTTTGAAGATTTAGTGTAAACATAATATAAAGTATCTCACTAACAATCATTACTTACATGCTGTAATGGTAATAGATATAAAGAGTTAAGCAAAACACTTTAAAATTAACTTCACGCGTTTTCTTTAACTTTTTTTTAACATAACTGATAAAAAGCTTGAAGTATACAGAGCTCTCATTACATTTCTATTGGACAGAGTTGTATAGATTAGGCCAACTTAGTCCCTTCACTTGTGAATAGAATTAAGATGTCCACATAGCGGACATACATGCGGAGCAGAAGTTCCCTGAAATTAGAGAAGGTGTTTAGTTTAATACATCCCAGCATGTTGGAGAATCCCAGTACCCCACAGATACTTAATGTTTGTTGAACAAATGAAAATGAATGAATCTGATAGGAAAAATAATGTAAAAGCTGCAGTTAGCACCCAAAACAGATTACAAAAGGATTCTATATGTTTGCTAGAGATGGATAACAAATGTATTTCAAATATTACAATAACCAGAGAAATAAAAAATTCATGTTCCATGTATGTACATTTAAGTTACAATAATTCAAATTCATGAAAAGTTGCCACTTAGCATCCCACTTGGGTTTAACAGAGCCAAGTGGTTTTCTATGCCTGTGAACAGCTGAAAAGCAGAGGGGTGAGAGCCACTGCATTGTCAACACTGGGCTTTCTTCCTGACACGTGTTAACTCTCCACTCAGAATACTCATTAATAGTTCCCACGGGTTTGCTGTATTTGAGGAGCAATTTTTTCATGCATTTTCACTCTACATTGTTAACTTTTGCAATGAGTGTGTAACAGAGCCAAAGATTTCTTGGATTGTATATGGCTTATTGTTTTGTTTTCCTTCCTTTTTTCTGAGCACTAAAAGAGGACTTACATAAAAACTGAACATAATGACTTGATTTTGTTTTATAAATCTTCTATTTAAAATGGAAGCGATTCTATAATAGGCAAGTAAAGTGTGTGCTGTGGTGAATGGGAGGTAACTACCTAATTTAGTGATGGACATTAGGGCAGAGTAGTCCAGATGACACATATATAAAATCTGTGGAACAAGTTGAGCTACCCTTTAGTTGTGCTCTGACAATTTACTTTCTAAGAGATATGAATCATTTCAGTAAAAAACAAAAGCATGAGTTTACTGCTGTTTTTTATTTTAACATCTCAATAATAATTTGAAACAAATTTAGTGATTCAAAAAGCCAATGAAATTTCTTCACTTTTAAAGTTAAATATTCCTTAAAATCTAATAATTACTGGTATTCTTGATGATTTAATAATTAGTAGAAATTATCATCAATTTAATGGTATAATTATCATTACGGTGTCAGGTACTTGAGAAGTGATCTCCAAATATGATGGAATAAAAAGGAAACATAAAAAGATGAAGGAAATGTATTTGTTTCTAATGTTAAATATTATAAAATATAAATGTTGAAAGGACTAGAAATGAATATTGACTAGAAATAACCCAGAGTTCAAGTATGTCTATTCATTGGTTGCTTACTTGATTCAGAAGCATTCTTCTGAATGTAGACATTCTTAGTGCAAAGCACTTTCCCATTCAGCATTGTAAACTTAATTACTTCCAGTAATTTTAAATAATAGTTAAAGCTAAAATACTATTTTTAAATCACATTAGTTTGGAATTAAATAATTAAATTATATTTTGAGCTAGTTTACTGAGGGGTGCACTTAAAATATATTTACTAAATGAATAAAAGTTTGCATAATTTATAAAGTTGGAGTCACATCATATCTACCCCTTAATATAAAGTGGACATTACTCTTCTTGCCATATTTGGGTAAAACACTTATCATAGTTTGAAAACATGCAGGTAAGAGGGAGACAGGGGAGACAATGATAGAAGGTGATCCAGATCTAGAACAGTAAACTACCCAGCCAGAGACACAGAAGACAAAGCAGTAAGGTTTGGTAAGTGCATTAGGATGAACTACACAGTGCTTAGTTTTCAACACCCAGATGTTTTAAATCCCTGTAATCAGTGACAAATATACTGAGGTAAGTAGGATAGACTAATTCTGACTATTAATTTTGAAGTTAGAGAGATGAAATTTAAGCCCTATTTTGTTGCTTCTGAAATTTATAGACATGTTTGGTGTACTAATTTTCTCTTGCTCCATACAAATTACCACAAATCAAGTAGCTTTAAACAACGCACATTTGTTATTTCATAGTTTCCCGGGTCGCTGTCCAGGTATGGGCTGTTCGGGTCCTTGCCTTTTAGAGTCTCACCAGGCTGAAACCAGTGATCGCACCTGAGGCTTGGGGTTCTTTTCTAAAGTCAACGGTTGTCAGCAAAATTTCATTGTATCTATACAACTTAGAGAAAATTAAATTAAATGGGAAATGTAACTCAAATTTAACTTTAGCAATAAAACTGAAGAATTCACAGTCTTGCTAACTATCAGACATGGGCAGTATTTAGCATCCAGAGACTGTGTTTAGGTCCTCGGCATGTGGCCTCCTCTTCTCCTAGCCTGGCCACTTGCTTCTACAAGTCTACCAGGAAAGTATCTGCTGCTGCAACTTGTCTCTTTTAAAGGCCCATCTGATTAGGTCAGGCCCACCCAGGATAATCTGGCATTTGATAAATCAAAGTCAAGTGATTCGGGAACCTAGTTAAGTCTGTAAAATCTATATTTCAGGAAAATATAGGATAACCACGGCAGTCATATCCCATTGTGTTCTCAGGTCTTACACTCAACAAGAGGAGAGTTTATAGGGCATGACATCCTGGGAGGTGGAAATCTTGGAGCCACATCTATTCATCTACTTAATTTCCCTAAGTAACTTATTTAAATTCCCTAAGCCTTGGTTGCCTTCCTATGTAAAGTGCCAATAATACCTACTTCATAAGCTTATTTTTAGCATTTAGTACAGTAATGATTGAAACATGCTTAACTTGTGACACACAATTACCACTAATTAATAGTAGTCATTATCTCTAGGCATACCAGTCCAGATCTGATGAGGTTAATGTATAACTTGCAGAAAGTACAGCAACTGAGTCAGAATTATCCATTTTTATATTATTTATTTTCTTTGCATGAACAATTTAAGCTCCTTACTAGAAAATACAGATGATCAGACTAGGAAAACAAAGAAGAAAGAAGAGGGGGGATAGACTCTAGCAATGTGCTGATTACAAGACACAGATTTAGATCAAGTGAACACATTTCAGAACATATAAGTTAGGAAAATTGATCAAGAAAAAATAGAAAATATTATTAAACAAATATACATCTCAAAATGCACCAAAGGAGGGAGCTTGACAGTAGGCTTACATAGACTGAATTAAAATTACTTCCAAATCTTTAATTCCCCTCTTATGCCATAGGGTGCAAAAAAATAGGAAAACAGAGGAAACTACCCAATTTATTTTTAAGGCTAGTGAAACCTAGTTACCCAAACCTGGCAAGCGCAAAATCAGGAATGCGAACTCAGATAATGTCACTTAAGATAAAAAATAAAATTGAAAAGATAAATTTTAAGTAAATGAATCTTAGCCTGGCCAGTGTGGCTCAGCAGTTGAGCATAGACCCATGAGCCAAGAGGTCACAGGTTGATTCCCAGTCGGGGCACATGTCTAGGTTGTGAGCTCAATCCCCATTAGGGGGGATGCAGGAGGTAGCAGATTCATGTTTCTCTCTTATTGATGTTTCTATCTCTCTATCCCTCTCTTTTCCTCTCTCTCTAAAATCAATAAAAAATAACATTTTTAAAAAAGTAATTAAATCCTAAAATGTCTTAAAAATATCCTATCTAATAATAGAGAAACATGGTAATTAACCGTAACTTCGCTACCCTTTCCATTGGCTAATCAGCAAGATATGCAAATTAACTGCCAACCAAGATGGTGGCCGGCAGTCAGGCAGCTTAAGGGAACATGAGGCTTGCTTGCTCCAGTGAAGGAGGAAGCCAAGGTTCCCTGCCTGCCACTGCTGGGCTCTGAGCTGCAGTCTAAGAAACAATGTTGCAATTATAGAACCTAAACAAACCCCAGAAACCTGCTTTCAGCCAGCGCGGCCTCAGAGCTTAGAGCAGCCAGTGATGGCAACAGAGTTTCAATTATAGAATCTAAACAAACCCAGATACCTGGCAACGGCCTCAGA